GGCGCCCGGCGGCCGTGGCTCGCGTCCCTGGGGCTCCGGGGTCGATCCTCCGGCTCGGAACTCCGCTCGCAGTTTGTCGGAGAATCAAGTTGTACTCGGACGGGGACTCCTGCTGCGGCCGCCGCTCCTCTTTGTTGTTCTTGAGTAGTTTCACTGTCGTCCCGGTAGAGCGCGTTGGGTCGGTTGGAGTGTGTTGCCTTAGGGCTAAATGAAAGTTGTAAATGGTTTGTTTTAATTTCTTTTCTCAAGCAAATTTGTGTTTTCTCTTTGTCTGTTACTTTCCCTTCCTGGTCCTGTCATTCCAGTTTACGTTGCTGGTTTTGATTTGTTTACTTTTTGAGTACTGTGGGTGATGGCGGTGTGCAGGCAACATTCCTAGCGTCTAACTGAACCCCCCCCAATAAAACATGCCTTCCTAATAAAACACACAGCTTATCTTACTGTTAGGACTACATGTACCGAGCGTCAAATTGGTGGAGGGTGGAGGGCGGTGGCTTCATCACATGCCCAAAACTGGTGTTATGATTTCTCAAGCTAGATTTTCAAAGACATGCATGTGTTTAGTGAACTTGAAAGATTTCTTTGCGGGTATAGAGAGGCTTTAAAAAGTCTTATTGAAGATTGATAGCTATTTTCCCCCAAAGCTGTAGTAAGTTTGTTTTTATTTTAAAAAGCCCACACATTTATTTCGAAATTAGTTTCTTAATGCCTTTAGTTTTTGCCCACTAGTTTCAGGTGGAATTGCCGGTTATTTAGGAATAATAAATATAAAAAGATAATGGGGAATCATATTAAGCACCCCGAATTGACTTTCTCCATTTGTAGTCTTGACTAATTTTTGTTAACCTTTGACTTTTGCTAGAATTAGCATCCTTTTAGTCTCAGAAGCAGCTTGATTATTCGGGTGTCTAAGAAGTAGGTTTAGTACTTTTTGCCGGCAGAAACCATTTAGAGTCTTAAGAGAACATACAGAAAAGCATAATTTCATAAAGTAATTGGTTTTAGAACATTGCGTTTGAATACTTTTTATTGTAGATTTCATAAATTACCTTTTGCCATGCCCTAAATATATTTCAATTGAAATACAGCTTAGAAAGTTCTAAAGCGTAACTTTCTTTTCTGCTAGAACTTATTCTCTCTATGTTGGAAGGTTCTGGTATGATTAGTATCTGATATTCCAAATTGTAAATTATTGATATATTTAACATGTAAAAATATGGTTTCTCATTAATGTTTCTTCCGTAATGCTGTTATGATTTTGCTTTCTTAAATAGGTTCGTTACAGAACAAATGTGGTAGAGGTAGGCCAAGCATTAATGATTTGGAGTAGCTTTAGGTCTAAAGGTGGTGATGAATTATGTAGATTTAAGTTATTGGAGTTAAAACCAAAAGCTTTTCTAGAGAAAATTGATAACATTTTGTAAATCTATTAATAGAAGTGGCTTTTTCCTTGCTTTCCAGGTTTTAGAGTGAGTTTGCTTTAAAGAGGTATTGTGTTTTGGTCTTTTTATTTTTGAAGTAGGGGTGCCTACTTCTCTGTTTAACTAAGTTCCTACAGTGTTAATCTTGAGCTTAGGAAAAACAAAAACAAACCGAATCTGTTTTAGACTTAATACAGATTTGTACTGAGAAAGTCACTGAAATATTTTGGAATAAGTTTTCTATGGATCATTGACCTTTTATGATGGCTTTGCTGCTTGAAGCAATTCTTTTTTTTTTTTAATTTAATTTTATTTTGTCAATATACAACATGGTTGGTTATTGTGCACAATTGCTGAAACCTCCCTCCCTCCTCCCTCTCCCCCCTCCCTCCCAACAACTTCATATCTGTTCACTTGTCGTATTAATTTCTTTTTTTTTCTTTTTTTTGTCTTTTTCCGTGTCCGGCAACGGATCGCAACCCTCAGTGTCACTCCCGTACCGGACCGGGACCGGCAACGGGATCACAACCCTCGGTGTTGCACGCGCACCTCGCTCAGCCAGTGAGCAGGAACCGGCCTGTATGT